TGACCGAGTCGTGACTTCGATGTGGTTCGTAACCAGTCTTGTGATTCGTTGTTGACAAAATGCTGAACAGGCCTGGAGCCTTCATCCCTTGTCTATTTCTTACACTAGATACCAGCCGATACCCCCCACCCCCACCCGCTCATAGAGACGACGTACTATAGTTGATTATAGTTCTCCTGGGCTCCCTGTGAAGGTAAATTAAGTATTTTTATATTTTTTAGGAATAGGATATGGATTGGCTATGACACCGACTATGGCGATTACCGCAAGCTATTTCAAGAGATATTATGCCCTTGCTAATGGGATTGTCTTTACTGGAGTAGGAATAGGATGGATTGCGTTACCACCACTTTATCAAACAGGAATACAAGTATTTGGATGGAGAGGATCCATACTGATTTTGGCTGCAGTGACGTCAAATATCTGTGTTTGTGCATGTGTGTTTCGCCCGCCTCCAATGAGAATAGTCTCTGTATCAAAGAACAGTCTGATGGACATTGACAATGATGTTCAGCTTTATACGACCGACCCCTTACTGGAACATGCAAGAGATACCAAAAAAATCTATCAGAAAATAAATGACACGTCAATCAAAAACAGCAACAGATGTTGCCAATTTATGACTGGCATATTTAATCCTAAGCTTTTTCGTGATCCACTGTTCCTTCTACAAATGTTGGTCTTTTTCATCTTCGGGCTCGGATTTTATCCAACCATACTGCTTCTAGTGCCACGTGCAGTTTCCTATGGAATACCTTATCCATGGCCGACAGTTGTGTTGACTGCATGGGGAGTGACAAGTGTAATTGGAAGAGCCACTCATGGTATGATTGTAGACCGTAAAATTCTTACATCATGGCAAGCAGCAGGTCTGGCACTTATCGTTTGTGGACTACTTAATATTTTCAGCTTTCCAGCAACGACTTTTTTAGGCTTGGCAATACTGTACAGCGTTTTTGGTTTTGCTAATGGAGTGCAGCACCCCATTGCCGTGGTTGCTATCAAAGACTTTGTCGGTGTGTCAAAGTTTCCTGAAGCATTGGGATTTTGTAATATGTGTCTTGGTATCTCCGGATTGATTGGACCACCTGTTGCTGGTAGGTCCCAGATGATTGTTGTAAGATTTTAATGATCATCGCACGATATTCTCAACATAACAGAAACATTTCTTCCAACTTCCAATAACACCTGTATTATTATTATTATATTGTTATACAATAATCTTTCCTTGATTTTAGGATCCGTATACGATATTACTGGTAACTATTACAACTCCTATCTATTTGCTGGCTGTTTATTGTTTGCTGGTGGTGTTTTGGAGCTTGTTGGTCCTATATGCCTTCACAAATTCTATGGGATCATCCCTGATTGTAAACAAAATGTGATAGAAACAGCAAATGAAACTGACAATAATAAAACTAAGGTCGTGGCAGATGCTGACCAGGATTTTGACGACAGTGTCTGACCATTCATGTATTAGGAACTATAAAAGGACAATATCAAAATAAAGTGCAACATTCTCTGTTCAGCACATGTTAAAATATTATGTGAACTTTGTTTTATATGCTCCATATTGATTACTAAAGATTTAGAAAATATTGTATATGTGGCATATCACATATTAATTTTTTTAACAATGTTTCATATGACCCATATCAAATAATAAATCTTCGAACAAAGTTGTATCCATCCAATATTGAATAATACATCTTTTGGATATAGTTTCAAGTGAAATTTACTGATATAAATGGAGGTGTGATAATTCTTCATTCAGGCGATCAAATTCGGAAGGTGACCGTTGTGCCCTCTAACAGGACTGATATTGATCATGAGTCATAGTGAAATTCTACGAATCGAAGTAATCTCAATGACTGCTGGGAAGAGAGGTATTCAAGAAAAGGGAAATAGTATGTGTTGCTGTAGGCACGCACTAAACTATTGTGACATCTGGTTTCATTCTTTTTACACTTACTTTATTAAATGTTAATCTGAAATTCAAAATGTATTTGAAATT